CCGCGGATGCCCCCTGCGCCTGGCGGGGGAGGGGGCCGAGGGTCTCGCGCCCACCTTGTTTCTCGTTTGTCATGACAGGCCGGGTTCCCGGACACCCCTTCTTCTCTCCCTCCGTTTCCCAGAAGCGTTTCCTCATCTCTGGAGCAACCGCGTCCCCCCAAAATGTCAAGTTTTTCAGGATGAGCCCACCCATTGGTAGCGAGGGGGGACGCCCCTAGATAGGGCTGTGGGTCCTGAGGCTTCTGTCTCCTCAGGGAGCATCGGGATCGCGCCTTGGAGTCGGGGGGCGGGGGAGGTGACAGTGCGGGCCATCTCTTGGATTCTGAAATCTAGTCTCTCAGCAAACCCGGAAGGGCATTCTCCACTCCCTGGACTCGACGTTTGGGACTTGGAGTGTCTGGAAGGGCCTGTGCCACCATCACTAGGTCTGGGTGTCATCGCGCTAGGAAGCAGCGGCCCTGAGCCTGGAGTTGTCATTTGAAGTCCTTATGAGGAAGTGAAAAGGAAGGGACTTGGATTCCAGGGTCAGTGACTGAGTAGTGGGGAAGGGGGTGTCTGCGTAGGGCCTGCTTCTTCCCTATCCACTGGTGACTTCTCTTCCTTCTGCTGTCTACTGGTTGGTTCTTTTCAGAGGGATCCTCACTCCCCAACTTGACTTGTGACATCTTGGTACTTGAAAGAATGTGGAGAAGTGGCTGTCATTCTGCCCTTTAATGAACTTTTCTGCCCGCGAGGTCCTTTCTTCTCACAGCAGTACTGTGCTCTTTTCAGATCCTTCCCTCTCTTGCCATGTACTGGCTCTATTCTGATTAAAGGAGGTCCATCTTAAGTATCAACTCAGATTATGTATATTTTTTTGTTTAACTTTATTTTTTATTATTATTATTTTCCAGTTTGATCAGACAAAGAGAGGTGAGGAGAATGAGAAAGCAAGCCACCAGGTCCAGGACTTGAACCCTAGTCGGCCATGCGGGAGCTAAGTGCCTTTAACCACCACGCCACCTGCCAGCTCCCAATGTGTATATATATATTTTTAAATAGGGTGTGTGTGCTTGCTGAGAGAGAGACATAGAGGGAAGTGGGCCACACAGCAATCTCTTCTCCTCCATTCTTCTGCTGAGATTTTAGACACACATGCACACATGCCCAGTGTGAGTTTTAGGCCACCATATCTGGGACTCAAATGGCAGTCAGCCATGTGGGCATCCAGTGCCTTAGCCACCATGCCAAATGCTGGCCTCAGATTTTTAAACTTTATTTATATATTTATTATTATTTATTTTGTGTGTGAGAGAGATTTTTTGCTATAGGACAGCACGCTCACCAGAGAAACAGAGAGAAAGCAAGAAATCACCCACCAAGGGTGATTGGCTACACTGCAATCCTTTTTCCATTTTCCTCTCAGGATTTTGGGTATGCATGCACTCACGCCCGGCATGACAGTTTTTTTTTTTTTTTAATTGATTATATTCATTGTCATTATTCTATTTTTTTTTTATTTTATTGAAGTTGACCAGAGAGAGACAGAAAAAGGGAAGGAAAGTGAGAAAGCATGCTGCCAGTTCCGGGACTTGAACCACAATCAGCCATGTGAGAGTCCAGTCACCTTAACCACCACGCCAGTGTCTGGCCCCCCAGCGTGAGTTTTAAGCTGCTGGTCCAGGACTCAAACCACAATCAACTACATGGGAGTCCAACAACGTAACCATTATGCCATCTGCTAGTCCCTTCTAAACTTTATTGATCTGAAGTAAATCTGAACCCACCCTTAGCTAGTGACAAGTTGTTTCCAGGAGAAGATCGACTCTGAGCTTTGCAGGCTTTGTAAAATTGGAAGGGGACTATAGTCTTCACTCCATCAACTTTCTTGTTTGTGGAGCGAGGATGTATGTATCCAGGGAGGTGATGTGATTTGGTCAAGGGCACACAGCGAGTTGTGTTTGTTTTTTTTGTTAGCTTTAAGAATTATTTTATTTAACTTTAGTTATTTACTTGTTTTTAATTTGACCAGAGAAGGACAGAGTGAATGAGAGAGAGAGAGAAGAAAGCAAGAAAGGGAGCTGCCAGGTCTGGGACTCAAACCATTGTCGGCTATGTGGAAGTCCAGTGCCCTTAACAACCACACTAACTGCCAGCCTCCACAGCAAATTGATAACAAACTTGAGCTCAGACTCAGGCTCTGCAATCATTAAGTTCCATGCCGAGACGGTATGTCATTATTTGGGTAAAGCTTTTTTTTTTTCTTTTATTCATTCAGCTGGTATTTGTTCAGCTTATACCTGGTGCCAAGCCCTGTTCTAGGTGCTACAAATCCACAGTGATTAAAACAGCCCTCCTGCCTACCTAAGCTTATTTTAGTGAGGAAGGCAAATGATAAAAAGTCATAACAGGTTAAGCAGTGATCTAAGAAATCTATTGACCAGGGAGAAGAGATGGAGTTGATGTGGAGCTATTTTCAGCACTGTTAGCAAGGGAGTCTCTATTTGTGGCACTGACATTTGAGCAGGCCTGAATGGGTGTAGTATCAAGCCCAGAGAACCACCCAGGATGACAGGTTGATGACATGGAGTGCCTAAGCCATTGGGGACCTACGCTTAGTATCAGGGTCTCTCCAGGGTGGTGTTGAGTCTGAGATCCAATGAAGTGCCCTGCTGCATTGGGTGTGTGTGTGTTGGGGGGGGTGATGGGAGGAGGGCTCTTCCTGAGATTCTCCAACTTCTGAATAACAGAGCCCACCACCTGACTTCTCTTGTCTCCCAGGGCCTGTTCGGCCTGTTCTAACAGGTTAATAGTCACTGTGTGTATCATAGTATTTTGCCCTCTAAGCTCAGTCTAAGGGGAGTAGTCATGCCTGAAATTGCTCTTTGAGCTACTTGGCTGTTAGACTCATAATTTAAGCCTTTATCCACGTGAAGTACTTTTACTTGATTTAAAGAAACCTTGAATCTGTGAGGTCTTCCACAGAGTCACATAGTCTCCATGGCTCAGAATGACTTAACTCATGTAGATCCCTTTGTTCTGGTCAGTTGCATTGCCAGCGAAATCCAGGAATTTGTCTATATTTCACTTAAAGTGACATTTGCCATACTTGTTTGCCTTCTGTGATTGTAATCGCATTTTGTGTAATAACAGAAGGATGCTTTTTAAATTTTTTGTTCTTTGTTGCACTTAGTTTGCCGTAAGGCACATATACTTTCCGAAAGTGGGAGTGTCCTCAGGGCCAGGCTTTGGCACAATGGTAACACAACTGGATTTACATGGGAAGGTCCCAGTGTCCTGGCTCAGGGCCTCCCTGTGCGTGCCGTGTGCCCAGTGCGCATGTGGGCTGACTGAGGTTGGTGGTTAATTACAACAGATACCCTGTTGGGTATGCCCACCTCTCTTTCTCCTTTTATGAAATAAGTTTCAATGGTTCTTACGTCACTACCTAACCCCTTACTGTATTCTTATCATTAGTCCTAAATACGCTTATATGAACAGGGAACATTTTAGACACTGTGGATCTTTAAGCACCTAGAACGGGGTTTGGAACTCAGTATGAGTTGAACAAATATCTACTGAATGAATGAGGGCGGGGGGGAACTTCACCAATATAAAGCATACATATTTATATGTATTTTTTTAAGTTTATTATATGTACGTATATAAAAGTGTTTTTTGGAAGGCATTTGCTTGTTTCTAGTTCTGAAGAGCAAATGACCAATTTCTTTCCAGGGAGCTAACCCACAGAAACAAAAAACTGTTTGTTGTTGTTGTTGTTTTGAGAGTTTTGCTATAGGGCATGTGTGCTCTCCAGAAAGACAGAGAGAGAGAGACAGACAGAAAGCGAGAAATCACCCCTGGGAGGATGGCTATGCCGCAATCGCTTCTCCCTTGGGATCTTGGGCGTGCACGCACACGCGCCTGGCATGAATTTAAGCCACCAGGTCCAAGACTCGAACTGCAATCAACTACATGGGAGTCCAGCAACATAGCCATTACACCATCTGCTGGTCCCTGTTTGTTTTTTTATGAGAGACAGAGAGGCCACTCTTGTCAGTGTCTTGCCACACCACAGTCCTTCTGCACCCAGCCAGGGTCATAGGTACATTGCCACACCTGGAGTGTTCAGGTCATTTTGGGATTCAAACCAAGGCCTCCTATTTTAGTCTAGCATGGCACAATGGCATTCTACTGCACATGCCACCATAGCTGGCCATCCTCCAAAATGTTTTTTATGTTAAATGATTTTCAAATGTTTTGTGACTGTTTTTTCTTTGATCATTCTCTGCTATTTCTTTTGTTGTTGTTGTTGATTTATTTGTATATGTTTTGCTATAGGGTGTATGTGCTTACCAAAGAGAGACAGAGGGGAGACAGAAAGAGAGTACATACTCAAGCAAGCAATCACACACAAGAAAAGGAAGATAAAGCACATCCCCCCAAGCTGGATCGCCACCCCACAATCCCTTCTCCACTTTCAGGATTGTAGAGACACATGTACATGCACCCGGAGTGTTTTTCAAGTCACCAAATTAGTACTTGAACCTTGAACTGCACAGTTGGCTTTGTGGAATCTAGCTACCTTAACCACCACACTGCTGGCTGGTCCTCTGCTGTTTCTTTACAGAAATAATGTTCTCTGATAAATGCTATAGGTAGAACCTTTAATTGGCCTCCAGTTTAAAATCACACTTAGCTCTTGCGTCCTTCACTTTCTCCTGAGAAGCTCAATCCTCCTTGATAATCATAGTTTTACATAAGAATTGTTATTTCCTCTTCCATCTAATGTCAGTTTCTAACTATTCCCTTAATTTCTTTTTGTAAGCTGTATAGAAGG